ATATAAACTTTATTTAAATATTTGTGTAATAAAGCTATATTAGTTGCTCAGTATCAATTCGTTTGATGTTCAGCATATAACATCTAATCTTGACCTCCAGTACTAGGTATCTGCAGTCTCTCAGATCCTTCCCCACCAGTTAGTCCGGGAAACTTCAATTTAATATATTGAACAGACAAAGGACCCATACTCTAAGCTATGAATGATTGATATTCTATTTTCTTTAGTTTATCGCACAACAATATGCAAGTGCTTGATAAGACACTGTTATATACTGTTATACTTAATGAAAACTAGTGAAATTATTCTCAAAACTGTGCTGTTATATTTATCTGGCAAAAAATTTATTTAGCACTACGACAGATCTTAAAGAATAGAAATTATGACAGTGTCATACAACCTGCTCCCTTCACTATCTACAATAAAGAAAAAACGAGCACATATTTTCAGGATATTACGAGATCGTTTCATCTCCCACATTCTCTTCAACTGAGCACATCCTAAACAAAATCAGTTATTAATTTCAAAATTTCTGAACCTACTTTTCACAATGAACTCGAATCACAGGTAGAAAGTGTAGGCAACAAACTTCCGAAGATAATGTAAGTAGATGAATTACTCAGTGTTAAAAGAGTAACTATTTATAGAATAATTAGACAGGAGGGGTCGAGTTCAGATTTCGCTTGGAAACAAGGATGGAATAGAGACAAAACACAAGATAGAGCAACTCAGTGAATTCATACATATTATGATGGAGAGTTCAAGAGTGTGTGTTGGTGGGGTTGAATAGTGAAGTGAAATTATGAAATAGATGAAGTAATTTAATTCAGTAGATTTGGAACCTTAATGGTGAGTTGAAATCAGTGAGTGAAGATGAAAATCAAGATTGAGTGGAATGTTATACAACCAGGCAAAATACAAAAGCACAGAAATCAAGCAACTGTGGTTAGCAGGGCAGTGAGATATTATTCGCACTGTCTTTCTGTATAGAGAAGTGGGGTCAAAACCCTTCGATAGAAATGGCTTCTACAAACTGAAGGAACCATGATTTTATGTGTATTGATTATTTTGAAAGCTTGACTGATTTCCACTTTATGTCTTGTATCAGGCAATTGCAACTGAGAACACTTTGCTGCTTTTCATATGGCGACTTTCAGGGATATGCTCATAAAACCTTGTAGACGCTCTCCTATAAGTCCGTCCCATTTACTTACTGCCGGAAGTGAAAGTGAATTGGTAAGTGCAATTAGAGATTATTTGACCTGGATACCTTCCTACTTGTTACGAGCATACCGTGTTGTAAAGGCGAATGAATCTTGTGATGGGAAATGTTCATTTCAATGCACACTGAATTCGTTTCCCGATTCTTGTGGATCTCTCACTGCCCTGCTAACCACAGTTGCTTGATTTCTGTGCTTTTGTATTTTGCCTGGTTGTATAACATTCCACTCAACCTTGATTTTCATCTTCACTCACTGATTTCAACTCACCATTAAGGTTCCAAGTCTACTGAATTAAATTACTTCATCTATTTCATAATTTCACTTCACTATTCAACCCCACCAACACACACTCTTGAACTCTCCATCATATTATGTATGAATTCACTGAGTTGCTCCATCTTGTGTTTTGTCTCTGTTCCATCCTTGTTTCCAAGCGAAATCTGAAATCGACCCCTCCTGTCTAATTATTCTATAAATAGTTGCTCTTTTAACACTGACTAATTCATCTACTTACATTATTTTCGGAAGTTTGTTGCCTACACTTTCTACCTATGACTCGAGTTCATTGTGGAAAGTATGTCCAGAAATTTTGAAACTTATAACTGACTTTGTTTAGGATGTGCTCAGTTGAAGAGAATGTGCGAGATGAAACGATCTGGTAATATCCTGAAAATATTTGCTCGTTTTTTCCTTACTGTTAATAATGAAGGGAGCAGGTTGTATGACACTGTCATTATTTCTATTCTTTAAGATCTGTCGTAGTGCTAAATAAATGTTTTGCCAGATAAATATAACAGCACAGTTTTGACAATTATTTCACTATTTTTGACTTAGTATAACAGTATATAACAGTGTCATATCAAGCACTTGCATATTGTTGTGCGATAAACTAAAGAAAATAGAATATCAATCATTCATAGCTTAGAGTATGGGTTCTTTGTCTGTTCAATATATTTGAAATTGAAGGTTTCCGGACTAACTGGTGGGGAAGCATCTTAGAGACTATAGATACCTGGTGCTGAATGGCAGGATTAGATGTTGAAGAGAATTTAGGAGATGAAACGATCTCGTAATATCCTGAAAATATGTGCTCGTTCTTTCTTTATTGGAAGAACCTTTATGACACACAAAAATACCATAGAAAGTAGGCTGAGACAGCTAAGAAAAATATAAAGAAAAAATAGTTAACGTCTAAGTCTAAAGTTTGCCAACACTGAATTATTACCGTTTAAAGAACAAATTCAGCGATGTGATTTGGCGTATTTTCTTCATCGTCGATTTTCATAATGTGCATCAAACACAGAAAACATGCACATCTTTCTCGCATAAACGGCTTTTAATTTGGTGTACGATAAAAAGTTATGCTTACACCATATTTTTCTCAATCAAATTTGACGAATATTAAACGAGAATTCAAACGTAATCTCTCGGGTGTGCAGTTTAATTAATTCACTCATCAACAACAATCACACCTGCTAAAAATATCGCCTGTTATTCGCTTGTTAGTGGAAACAAAACAAAAATCATTATTATGGTGTATTTTAGTCTGACACGTTTAACCAAAACGTTTCTATGAGCTTATAATCGCTGTTATAGTGCTGACGAGAGAAAACTTGTCTAACTGAAATAGTTGTGTTTCAAAAACACTGGCAAACTTAGGGCTTTATTGTATATTTGCATGTGTATCACTAATAAGTAAAAAGGGATACTGTCACTATCAGTGAAATAGAACCCTTGTTGTTTTTCATACCGCTGACAGAAATTCCTTTTGCTTAGCACACGAATAAGCGACAAATACTCGTTTTGCGAAACGTGCTGATCTACAGAGGGATCTGGAGCTTTTTAGACTACCTTTGTTGGATCACATCATTTAAAGTTAAGGATGAATTACACAACATTGTTTTGGAAAGGTGACAGATCACACAATTAGTAGCTTTTTCATGAATATTTGCGGAACTAATGACACTTCCATAGGAACTCACATAACTTGCTAAAATGTCCCGACTACTGAACTATTTTTGTTTTTTAGCTTTTTCACATTGAATAAAAAATGTTAGTATCACCTAACTGTATTCCACCACTCATGTGTTTCACACATCTCAACAGTCTTTTCCTTCTTATCTTAAAGCATTTCTAGGCTTCAAATCATTCATATCCTAATAAACTAATAAACAATTATCCTTAGTCATCTGATTTAAACAATATTGACAGTTGAATACGAACTGAAAAAAATTATATCAAAAAGAAACGGTCTTCTCATATAATCCAGCTGTAAATTTTTCACCAATCAATTTCTTATTTCGCCTTAACATTCAGTAAAATATGGCGTCTAAAAATGTGAATGTCAGACTAAACTTTAGTTTGCCGCCATGACTGTATACGTCTTTTAATCAGATATGTCTAACAAGTGAATTAGGCTTTTTCTAAACAGCCATGAATTTTATACACTAACATTTCTTGAAAGGGTGTGGCAACTGACAATAGAGATTTTGTTCATGACGTAATAAGTCTATTGGATTATTTTATGTCTTTATTTCTCCGTCCATTTTACATTTTAATGTAATGTAAAATGTCTTTCTGGAAAATTCTTATGATGCCAAATGATGTTGTCTTGTTAGAAGTCTCAAACTAAAATAGCAGTCCATATAAAACATAATGTACTTTCAGTTACATAGAGTAATTTATTTATAACAGTGATTTTCTGATGACAGACAACAATACTTTTTTAACGCAAGCAATATATTTCGTCAGTGTAGTTGTGTGGCGTACGCTACTGATAAGATTTATCAGTAGTATATATATATCTGTATAAAGAGATATCCATCGGCGTAAAAATATCAAATAGTGGAGAGATAGATTTGACGTCAACGAAAGCAAATTATTCAACGTTGCGGTGAAACGCAGGAGACATGAAAAGGAAGACAAAGAAACGCAGTACGAAGGACAAAATCAGCACAACACAGAAGATCTGTGCAAATGATGATTTGAAGATAAGGTGCACATAATTTTGCTATATAGAGATACTAATTTCCAAAGAAACATTCCTTTACCAAGTCTCTTGTCTTCTACCATTACAACTGCACCACTCTTCATAATACGTCTTGGGTTATGTTACTAGTTGAAAGTCCGATACAAAGAGAGGACATTAATTATTTATAATGTAAGCACTTCATATCAAGTGGAATCCAAATTGCCTGAATAGGAATGATGGACTAAAACAGAATCTGACCTGGTTACAACACCTCCCTCCCCCATGAAGTGACAAAATCAACACGAATGTGATATGCAAGTTCACTATGTAAACACACACTGCCTTTATAATTTTAAACACTGATCAAATCCAACAATCTACACTTGATTTTGTTATCTTTACCAAATGACCAACTTGACAACGAAAAATGACCCCAGACTCACGAACGATGATCAAGTTAGTAAACTTTATTTTGATACCATAACAGATGTACTATTACCTTTGTTATTTGGTTTAGTGATCTTCATTGGTATTTTAACTTTCAATATGTCCTTTTAACTTGACCTAAGTCTATTTTCTCACCTCTTAACTCTTTGTTATATATATACTGAGATTTTGTAAATTCCGGTTTAATACAATAATGCTTTGATAAAGCTATTAGCATTAAATAGTGAAACGTCAGTAAAAACAATATCGTTTTGTTTTTCATTCATTGGGAAATACAAAAACCTTTATTATAAGGACATTAATTAATTTATAAATCCAACCGCCAATGTATAATAATATTAAAGCGGAAATTTACTTACAGTCGAAATGTTTCATTCCATACAGGATTCAGTGTTTGTTCTTTGACTTGAGTTGACTTCATCACACCGATTGGAACATTTCCTTCTTTATTTGCCACAGATTTTGACCAATTAGAACCAGAAATCTTTTGCAAATCACTGTGGACATTTTGTCCCTTATCACTCATATTTGTATGCTTACGAAATGACCGACCGAAACGTCGGAAAGATGAACGGGAAAGTGTCATATGACTATTATCTATTCCCTTTCTCCCTGATACAGGAATGGAACTCGATGCGTGTATATTATCTGTATCATTCTGACCTGTCACCGTGGTTGAACTATTGACAGAAGCATCTGAAACTGTTGATTTTTCATTTTGTCCAAAATAACGACCGAATACGATTCCCAAAATACAATATGGATCACTAAATCCTATTTGAAAAATAAAAGTATACGCATACCTTAGAATGAAATAAGACAACGGAAAAGACACAAAACCATTCTTCAAAACTTTTCACAATATCTTCCCTAAACTACACAACAAGTGGGCAAGTTTCAGCTTTGTATGAACATAAAAAATTCTCAAGTGTTGGTTTGAATGGATTTCAATGATTTTAAGTTATACCTAAAGACTGATGAATATCAGGTAGAGAACTATAGAAATCCAGATAGCCATTTTATCCCACTTCAGGATACTTCAGTAGTACACACTCCCCGAGGGTTAGAATTTGAAATTACAATCACATTAACGCTCAGCCACTGGTATGCCATCTAATATCCCATGAGTTTTAAATTTTGCCGATTCGCAGTTTCAAGCGCCACCATCAGCCAAAGTTGTCAGTGAGTATATGTCCTCTCACCCATTTCTATGGGCAGTGGGGATCATGACTTATTACTAGAACTCCAGGAATCAGTCAAGTTACCAAAAACCAGCACTTGGAAACTAATGATTAATGGCTATCGATTGGCGATGAACCCAAGAAAAGCAGACAGTGGTATTTCACAGTTTTTCTCCAACTACGGACAATCAAAAGTCACACACTGTTACATATAAGTAAGAAAATATAACGTTTTTCGAAATTCCTGCAACTAGAGCCACTGTTATCAAAAGATTGCAGCCTTATCCTTGCAACTTATTTTACGCTATCCTTACACTGTCCTATTATCTTCCAACACTAAGTGTTCGATGTTTATTCCTCTTGTTTCATTACTGTCTAAAGAATTATTAAATACCTTTCTAGTTGAAGTAATTTTGAGTGGTGTTGTATATTTACACTTGCTTATAATAATGTAAGTCATTTTTAGACTGCTGGCGGTCACTAATTATAATGACCACTTTCTACTCAGTAAATAGCTTCGTTTTTTTCCATTTTCAAATTAATATAAGGAATTGAGTGTAGAAATTCTTGCCTTTGTTTAAATTGCTGTATTCACATATAAAGGATAGAAGCTACAATTTTTAATGAGCGCATAAATTTAAGAAGTCATTATCTGTAAATGCTCTAATTTTGACTGAATTTTCTTATAGGTCTGCGTTTGTAAAATTTTCTCAAAATCATCATTTTACTAAATTAATTACTTAATTACCACTCTGCGTTATATTAGCAATAAATAACACTGAACTATATAGCTTTAAGTCTCCTATTGCGTCAAATATTATTAACGATAAATGGAATAAACATTATCTTCTAGCTTGAGTTTTTTTAAATAAGTGAAAATCAAAACAAGACTGTTTTTTAAGGGACACAGAATGCTAGCAGTGCTTTGTCAAAGTGTAGATTAAAAGCAAAAGTTTTCCGATTTTATGACTCTGTTAGCAAAAAAGTAGGTAGATGACATGTGAAACAATACCATGTTTTGTTTTTGATTTCATGAAAGCAGAAAAATTATCATTATTCAACGGGCTAGAGATTTTCGGCTTATTCAGTCAAGAACATATTTTAAACAACAGTAATTACCTTCCTAAAACCATAGAAACATGAAGATTAGTTTTATTCAACAGATAATATATTTGAATGAAAAATATAAAATTTGAAATGTAAACAGCAGCGTGACAAAAGTAACTGCAGCGTGAAGTGCAAACAAAAATTAAAGCATGAAGTGAGTATGGGATAGAGCTGACTTACGATGTCACTGGAATATCACAACAGTAATCTTTGACTATCGTAGTGTCTTTTCCTTAGTTTTTCTCAAAAATATTAATACTTCTCGCTGATTAAGTGTTTGCAAGCTTAGTAACTGGCAGTGCAGTAAATCTTGCCCTGCCATCAAGTATGAACACACCTCAGGACTACTAACGAACTCATTTTTAGAGCTCTCCTTGTTTTTCTTCTTTCCTATAGAGAAAGCTGTATGGTGAAAAGACATTTCCAACTTGACAAAAACATTGCTATTTAGCCCCCTGAATGGTCGGTTAAAGGTCATAAAGGTCTGTGAAAGAATACAAATGCGAATTTTCTCGGCTAAACACTGCGTTTTATCTCATTTGACTCGTCTTTTTCACTAAGTGGACAACAGGAAGGAGGTTTTCATAGGTGTTTTTCGTATTCCATCTAATATTCTGAACGAAATTCTAACTATTCTACATACAGCTGAAGCTATGGGAATTAGTTGGAATAGCTCTAGTCCTTGAATTCAAAAGAAGTTTGTTCCACCTTATTTTTCCTCCATGGTCTAGATAAACTTAATAAACTAATCAAAACTCCTGACACTGCTTTCCATTACTCCACCCCTTTTACACACTTATCATATTTATTCAAAATTCAATTGTCTATTCATTTTACACTTGGCATTGCGTAACTTATAAAACAATAAGATTCCGACCTAATTCAATTAGTGAATTTTTTTCCATTATCAGGCTATTTTCATTATTCTTTTTCCCATCTGCGTCAAGTGCTTATACTGTTGTTATCATTGGTATTATTATTATTATGACTGTTATAGTTAGAATATTGACACCCTTTAACATCTGTCAGTGACCCGAAAATTCACCGTCATTACTTGATACTATATACATATATAAAGCTATGTAAATTAGAGCGAAGCCTGAAGAAACTCTAATTGAAACTAATCAAGTTCGTTTATATGTCTTCTATTGTTTATACTTAATTTATCTAATTAACTAATTATACACATGCCCGATTCGTTTATGAATAGGAAGTCTCTCATTCTCTTTGTTATCTTTACTACACAATCAGTTGTATTATTATGCAGTGTTACAGCTCTTTTCATACAAACACTGGTATTACAATAATTCATCCCGTTTGTATAAAAACAAAATCCCTTATTATCTTCTACTTTTCTTTCAGTTCAGTTATTGTAATCCTTCTTCAACTTACAGAAATATATATATTCTTCATTTTTTAAGTAGTAATTGTCGAAATTTTTAAAGAAGAAATTAAATATGGAAATTAGTTTCCTAACTAATCTTACATTAAAATATTCCAGTTAGTGAATACTAAAATTCTATTTTTCAGTTAGAATAATTACCATTTAAATATCTGGGTCTATCATTCTTATCTCTTAATGATAGTCATAAAAAGGACAATATATGTATATTCAACGACATTAATACAGTGAAAAAGAAGACTCTGAGTTATGTGCCTTTATCAGAATAGTTTTATATTACTTGCCTAACATTGTAATAAACAGCATTATAGCTTTTAGTTTTTACAAATATTCTCTAAGGAATACTAACATTACTTAATACTGCGCATTGTTGAAGTTATACTACTAAATTAAATACAGGTAGACACATTCACATAGCTAATCATTTATCAACTTGGCTAGGTTTCGCTGCTTTGCTAATCCTACTGTCTGAGCAATGTGGTAATATTTGTTTTAATATTTTGTGCTGAAATGTGCAACCAAAATTTTAGAGCTCAACATTTCGTTCTTTGTGTGTCTGTAGAAACACTTCACTGTATATTGCGAAACGGGTGTGTGTGATAACCTCAACATTTAAAGATTTCTCTAAATAATGATAGTTTATAATGAAATCTACTTTGCACAACACAGCAAAGGTGCTGAACAGTGTAAACAAATAAAATTTATAACTTTAACAAGACAATGAACTTTGTTGGCACAGTTGTGTTCTCTCAGCTGGATGATCTGATTGAGGAGCTTCTATTATTTTTCTTTTACTACATCCTCAGCCCATACTTCATTTATTAACTAGACCATCTAGTTCAGAGAACACAACCACATCAATATCATCCACTTAAGCTACTAATCTTTTCTATCATATCTACAATGGGCTTTGCAACATACATATATATATATATGTTGAAGAGTTTATTTGCACGGACTTGAGTAGTTTTTCAAGTATGACAATGAATCGACATCAGTTAGAGAACCACTGAAAAGCAGGGAGTACTGGACAGGTGTTTCGTCCTAGTTTGTAACACATCAGGAGTGCGCGCCCATTGGGTTTCGAACCCGGGACTTTCTGGTTACAATGCAAGCTCGTATACCATTCAGCCACTGGGACAGTATTCAATGGCCAGCCCATGAATTCTAACTTCTACCAATTCGTGATTTTAGCGCGACCAATAACCAATGTCATCGGCGGGAGCTCTATCCTCACTCCCAACTGCATGTAGCTCACTGGTCACGACTTCGCACTAGAACTTCAGGAACTACGTCCTGTAACCCCAGTGGATGCGTACTACCGATGAGTCACAAACTAGGACGAAACAGCCATCCAGCACTTCCTGTTGGTTTTTAATGGTTCTCTAACTGATATCGATCTATGGTCAAACTAGAAAATGTATATACATTGTGTACGCATAATGGCAGTAATACATAATTATGTTTATTTCCTGAATAAATTATGCTATCCCTTACTGAAGTATGTCATTTGTAATCGCTTAATAACCTAACGGTCGAAACTCCAGACTCATTTGGTGAGCCTGTGCGACCGATTTAAAATATATTTTTATTTCAACCCTCATTTATCAGATTTCCTTAATTCAAGTTTTCAGAAAATACTGCAACTAGCACCTGTTTGCATAGTTTCTTCCCTGCATCAATTGAGATTTACAAACTTCTGGTAAAGACTGAAATCAAACTATTCACCTTCAACAATCTGTGTTGTCTAATATCCTTAAACAAAAAAACAATAATTGTAACCATAAAATGAAAGCATAATTCCTTCCGATGACCTGGTTAACTTCACATGAATACACACTTTGTAAACTTAAATGAGTTCTGCTTTTTTTTGTTATTTGTCTTTTGGCCAGTAATATTTCTGAACCTTAATTCTTGAGATACAATAATGAGTATTATTATTGTTTTATGAAAACAGGGACCATAAATTGTGAAAGTGAACCATGAAATTTTTAAAACTGGTAAAAACTATAACTTAATACAATTCACTTTGATCTGCAAACTTTAGGCTTTCACAAAGAAATATTGATTGAATCTAAATCTGAATGCAGAGATTCGCATAATTTGGAGTTCACTCCAAAGATGAAAACAAAAAACTGTTATCTCAGTTAGCCAGTTGCTTTAAAGTTCAACAGAAAACGTCTAGTACACTTACCATTTAAATCTTTTGCCTCCAGGTTTTTAGCTTCTATCACTGAAACGTTCAATACAACGATGGGTGGCTAAACAAAATAAAAAGCAAAATTATATTTTAATTAAGTTTTCAAAGTCATCTTGAAACTCAGTAACCAGTTTAACATTGCCGAATGCTTAATTTCATATTTCAAAACATTTGATTTTGCCACTAACTTGGATGACTCTGTAAGCATAAGCCCACACTTATATTTAAATGAAAATGGGAATAATGTCGCGGAGAAATTGAGGAATCTTTTTCTAAAATAACACTATTACTTAAATAGTGCAACAGCATGTACACCTTTACAATTAGTGACGCTTCATTGTAAAATTTTCATGAGGAAATAAACTGTATTTGTAAGGTTACTAAGTAATTAGTAATATTGTTTACCTGTGTAGTGCATTTAACAAAACTAAGAGATTTGGAAACAAACCAACTTTATTTGAAAGCAAGTCTTGCTTTAGTCGTTTTAATGAACTAACATCTACAGCGTAGGTGGAATAGCGGTTAGGACGCTCGCCAACCATGCACAAGGTCCGGGGTTCGGTCCCCGGCCGACGCACTCCTTTACTTCGCTAAGCCAGAAATAATGCTGGTGAAGAGGAAAGGTTGGGCATGAGGCTAGCAACCCCATCCTGTAAGAATAAACACTGCTATAGAAACTTCAAGCCACTAGCTTGAAGCCCTATGTTCCACTGAGTAACGTGAAGGAAAAAAAACAGCTACAGTTCCGCTATGGTGTGAAACTGTTATATTATTTCCGAAAGGCTAACGATATCGAATAAATTCTGACACTAAACTTAATGAAGATGGCTTGTAGTGGTCAATACTTACATATAATCTAATTAACTGTAAACTAGAATTGCTTAACTGTTTGTTTGTTTTTATCAGTCTGCTTCTGTCAATTTATCACATTTGCAACTATGCATTTCACTCAACAGAAAAAAAGTTATGTGGATGATTTCTTTTTCATTCAAGGAGAACTGTTATAACTTAGTTTACAATGCAACTTTACATACATATACATAATAATAATTATCTCACTAGGAAATAATGCTACAGTGGTTGTGCAGTCTTTCTACATCTAACTATAAGTACTGTCACATTGGTTTTATTACTACCGGAAGTTGAGGCAATTCAGAGGATATTTAATAACTCTTAACAGTTTCTATTGACTGTTATGCATAGTTATCTTGATACATTTAAAAATATTATTTACAATAATTAGACTCTCAAACAAAGTACAGAATCACAATGCCCAGAAATAAATTCTTCCAGTTAGAAACTCCTTGTAAAATCAAAAATTGTTCTGTTCGTGGGCTTTTGTATTTTGTCCGGTTGCATCACATTACATTCAGTCTTGATTTTCATCTTCACTCACTGATACCAACTCACTATCATTAAGGTTCCAAATCTACTGAATTAAATTATTTCATCTATTTCATAATTTCACTTCACTATTCAACCCCACCAACACACACTCCTGAACTCTCCATCATAATTATGTATGAATTCACTGAGTTGCTCTATCTGGTGTTTTGTCGCCATTCCATCCTTGTTTCCAAGCGAAATCTGAACTCGACCCCTCCTGTTGAATTATTCTATAAATAGTTACTTTTTCAGCACTGAGTAATTCATCTACTTACATTATCTTCGGAAGTTTGTTGCCTACACTTTCTACCTATGACTCGAGTTCATTGTGAAAAGTAGGTTGAGAAATTTTGAAATTAATAACTGATTTTGTTTAGGATGTGCTCAGTTGAAGAGAATGTAGGAGATGAAACGATCTCGTAATATCCTGAAAATATGTGCTCGTTTTTTCTCTCTTCAAACTAATAAAGGGAATCGGCTGTATGAAAATGTTGATTGTAAAATTGGAATATTAATTTGTTTTACTGCTGAAACATTTCTGTGAAAATTATGATGATATTTCTTACTGACTAAGTAAAATAATCTACTTGGCCTAGACTTCTTGTCTGTTGGTACATATCTAGTCTTGTGTGCGTTGGTAATTCATCTGAGATGAAAAATAAACTAAATGACATACAACTAGATAATGATGAAACAATGGTTAGTTTTGATATAACCAGTCTTTATACTAATATACCAGTCAATATGGCCTTAGAAGCAGTTAAAAAACAATTAACTGCAGACCCTGAACTCACTTATGGGTCGAAACTACCCACTGATGAAATTATTTTAGGAATTCAGTTGTGCTTCACATCTACTATCTTTAAATTTCAAGGCAAAATATATAGACAAACTGAAGGTGTAGCAATGGGATGGATCACCAATATCCCCTATCGTAGCAGATATATTTATGGATAGCTGGGAAAATATGGCACTTAATACGTTTAATCCTACTCCAAAAATATGGTGGAAATATGTGGATGACACTTTCACATTGTTAAAAACAGAACATATCTCTCTCTAGCTTCTTGACACATGTAAACTCACTAGTAGCTGGAATACAATTCACATTTGAATCGGAAAATGAACAAGGAGAATTAGCTGTGATGTTCGATTGTAAAATAAAACGAATAGAAGAAGGCAAACTACACACTAGTGTTTATAGAAAACCAACGCATTCTAATAGATATTTAGACTTTAATTCATCTCATCCTTTAACTGTTAAGGCAGGCTTAGTTAAGTGTTTAACAAACCGAGCAATGGCACTAAGTAGCACAAAAAAGACCTAAATGATGAAATAAAACAGATAGAAGAGGCGTTGGTGTTAAATAACTATCCTTTAAAATTCATTAGGAAGATTGAAAAACGCCAAAAGAAAAATAAAAAGAATTGTGAAACTAGTAATAATAACATAAGAGACAATATAAGTCATCTACAGTTATACCATATATAGAGGGGACATCTGAGACCCTACGTAGGATTCTAAATAAAGCAGGAATTAGGGTAGCATTTAAACCTACAAACTCACTCAGGGATAAGCTCTGTAGGTTAAAGGACCCAGTGGACCCAATTAGACAAAATAATATAATTTACAAAATACCCTGCAATGACTGTGTGGTCAACTAGTAGTTCAGGGGTAGTCAGATTTTCAGAACATAAGAATTTAGCTAAGGTAAGAATGGTTGACCCAGAGAAGATAAGCAATTTAGAAAAAAGCTCAGCAATTGTAATGCATGCATTAACACACAACCACACAATAGGGTGGGAGAGGGTTAAAATTCTAAAAAGTAATCTAGGTAGGTGGAGAGAGGTTGATTAATGAATCCTTGTTCATCGAATCTACACCCAACACATGCAATAGGAATGACTCATCACTCATACCTGAAATATGGAAAATAATACTACCAATCAAATCAAGTGAAAATCAAGTGAAAAACAATGGAACTATATAAATGAATTTAGGTAGTCGTGTGATTACCTTGATATGATTATGAGCAATAAATTGTGCTCGAAACTTGGTCATCAGTAAATATTACTGTATAACACTGTGAGAATTTATCAAAACAAAATTTACCCAAAATGGAATTACACTCTACCACAGTGCGCAAGTTTTATTCTTATATAGTCGGTAATTCACTTATGGATTGGTAGTATTTATTGTACTGAACATGCTTTCGTCGTCAAATCGATCATTCTAAAAAAATAGTGTGTTCCATAACTTATATCGGACTAAAGCACTTCTCGGTAACTGTGAACGCGCTTATGGATTCATACGAACATGAGGAAGCAAGAATTCATAAGTGCACGCGGAAACCAGTGCACAAGGAAGAGAGAAGGAGACGAATTTCTACTACGATTTTCGGACACATTCTGAAATGGTTTGAGTAAACATGACATGATAAGTATATGAAGGGTATGAAGAATTGAAAAACATTGAGAAGTTCGAATTTGTTCATTAACTCTACTCAGACCATAGAAGAGAAAGGGGTAGGACAAATTTCTTTTGAATGCGAAGGTTCAGCTTCGTTTGACAGTGCCGTAGCTCGGTGCTTAGCTAGTACAGCACACCAGATCAATATATAAAAGTCGATGATAACGCGATTATTAGGTGAAGCACTTTACAAGTACAATTCCATTATGAGTAAAATTTATTTTGATAAAGTCTCACAGTGTTATACAATAATATTTGCTGCTGATGCTTTGAGCACAATGTATTGTTCATAATCATATCAGGGTTATGATATGATATGAGCAATATGAGCAGGCTAAAAATCATATCCCGATGATAACTTATATCTTTTATCATTCAGGTTACACGCAGCTGAAGAAATCATATGAAATAAAATAAATTCACAAAATGAATTCAAAAAGGTTATTTATATCTGTACAGGGTTCTCGGTATTTTTCTTTTCAAATGCTAGATGTAATCTTGACCGTAAATGTTACAAACACTTATGATGAACCTTCAAGTGAAAGTGATAACAATTATTTAAAAATGTAGAAGTTTCTAATTTGAGATTTTAAAACAATTGGCCATTATAACATTGACTTTTTACTGGTAGTGTAAGCATTAAAGAATGATAAACTGTTGGCTGTTCCAAAAATAAGGCTATAAAGAACTATAGTAATCCAGGGAAATAAAAGGCTAAGGTATAATTTCTTTCAACTCCAGTCTTTATCACACACATTTCGTAGATAATCAATTAGATACACAAAGGCAATCTCAGATAGCCTTATTCATAGAATTGACCAGTTATTTCAGCTTATGAAATCTTGGAGAAAGTCATACCACTTCTGAGATTTGAACAAGAGTCATCCAGTACTAAAATCAATGATATTGCCACTCAGCTGCTCGGACCCATGACTGACTTCCTACGGAAATGTGATAGGTACTTCGATTGGAGCTATGTAGACTATAATCTCACATGTCTAGTCCTTCGTTTATTGCAGACCTAGGCCAAAGACATCCTGCTGATAGCCTCCAAACAGCTAACGACAGTTCAGAGTGCACTATGATGACTAGTCACCCAGCACAGTAACCACATTGTGAACTCGACTAATGAAATTCAGTATGCATTAAATGAAGGTGTAGACGCATAACAATAGTTATCATTTAGTATCCAATCAAAGTAATAA